TAGTGCTAGTCCAAACTTTTTTGGACCAAAGTGGTAATTTTCTGCTAACCACAGGGACCATTTGTGCAGTTTTGTCTAAATTATTTGAAGATAGGTAAATGTTGATTCACCAATTCCACCATGAAAAATGAAATTAAAAAAATTAGGTTTTAAATGAAATGAAATTCCTAGACTCTTTGAGATTAATTGAACTATTCACTGGCATGTTTAATCTTGATTATGCCTTTCAAGTTTGTGACTGGGATACCGAGGATCATAGCATGTATGAATAACCATGCAAATTAGCTTGGTACTCTCGATGTCATTTACCACCTAATCAATGTGCCGGTTAACCACACAGGCTCCATTGATCTATGATAATTTACGAGCTACCCATTGCCACCCTTATTAGTCCAAGTTAGTGTGCTGGTTAACCACACATGCTACACTAATGACTTGAAAAAGTGCAATGTGTAATTTCATGGATTAACATCAAATTCACATTTTCCTAAAGTAACTAAGATTAGGAATTTATAAAACATTTAGTTACTTTATATTTCTCATTATACTTATTAATGAGAGAATTAATGTCATATCCTACCCGTTCGGCTAACGACCATCCACCAATCAAAGAAGCGGTGAGTGAGAGTGGACATCCATTCAACCGTCATTTTATAGGTAATTTCCTTATACCCTCCTTATAGATAGGCTTCGTGAATGATGACTACTAATGGTAAGACTGAATCATCTTATACATATATATATATATATATATATATATATATATATATATATATATATATATATATATATATATATATATATATATATATATAAATTAATCTTTTAATATTATATAGTCTAAGGGTTGTATTTTAAACTTTTAAAATACTAGGGTTTTAGAATTTACTATTTCAAAATTAAAGTTTTAATTAAATTTTAAATTCCAGAACTTAAAGGGTGCAATTTGAAACTTTTTAAAATTATTAGATCAAATTTTAAATACTTAATTAATCACATACTTTTTCATTATCTTAAAATTTGACCAAATCTATCTATTTTGATAAGGAAATTAGATTACCATTTATCAAATACAATTTATGGTGATAAAAACGATTTATGGTAATTATCCTAATCCAAAATAGATTAAAAATTTGCAAAATCCGCTAACAGACGAGTCAACTCGTCGAGTCAGGGCATGAACTCGTTGTGTCAGGGCATGGACTCGTCAAGTTCATCAACCAGATTGCGAATCTGCTTAGTTTTTGGTTTGGACAAATCACTATTGCATCACATATAACAGAAAAACATCATAGTCTCTCATATCACTAATGGGTTTTGAGCATAACAACATTCCTATGTGTTCATGCAACCCTAATTGCTTTGGATCTAAGCTTTTCTCTAGTTATATATGCAATTAGAAGTTCTAAAGCAATAACCCTAATAATAGCATACAATTTTCGAAATCAATATGAAAACTAGGGTTAGAATGTTACCTTGCTTACTCTCTCGTAATAACAAGTATTCCACAAATGATCTTGACTAGTGAAAGCTTTAGTGCCTCACGTGTTGCACCTCTAATGGAATCACAAACACCAAAAGCAAAGGATGAGTGTGAGAGGGGAAGAAAGTAGGCTAGGGTTTCTCCTTGGGAAGCAGTGGAGGATTTTAGGAGGTCTAGGGGCCTTTATATAGCTGTGGCTGCTAGGGTTTTCAGGGAAAACCCTAATTCCTTGCTTAGGCTCCAAGCAGCCCATGTACATTCCTTTTAGAAGGCCTTGGATGGTTTCTATAGAGGCTTCCTATAGAAAATCGTCCACCCTATTCCAAGGGAGTCCAACAACCCAATTTGCAACTATCAATGATTTGCAAAACCAGTCCCCGTACTTTTAATCGGTTCCTTTAATCACAAAATTAATATCAAATTAATTTTTGATTAAATACTAATTAAATAATATGGTTTCTAATTAATATATTATTCTTATAATATATTAATAAATCATTAAGTAACCTCTCTCTCCAAAAGTCATCATGTCAAGTTGTTATGGTGAAGGCAACCCAAAAGGACCATGCTATTATAAAATTAAGTACATATTAGTTATAGTTATGAGCTTAGATATCTAATCCAATAGTGGTGTCACCGCATTCAACCGCCTAATACGCTATGCTCATCCACAAGTTGATTATGGTTTAGATTTTCTCTAGAGTTAGATGCAAGAAATAGCTATATATATATATATATATATATATATATATATATATATATATATATATATACAATCCTATTTTCATGTAATCCTATTTTAACATTATACTTTCAAAGGATGTTTGAGATTTCATTTACCTTTTTTTTTTGTGAATCGATAGTGATGTTTGTAAGAAGAGTTTATGTGTTTTCCTTTGTTTGCTCACTAAATTCGATTGTGGATTTGCTTAGACACAAGTCTGAATGAATTATGGAGATTTGCTCTTGCTGAAATTGTGGTGTTTTTTTTTTTTTTAAATCATCCTCCAATGATTAAGGTTGGAACTCATTTGGTGTTTTTTTATCATCACTTATGAAAAACTACGTTAACAACCAAAGATAAAAGAAGAAACAACAAACAACCTCGCATGCTAACTCCTGTTTACCTTCCAATCCCTTGCATAATTGCTATCAACAGCCCGAAGTGCTATCCCCGACGTTTGGAAGTACATGCATCTCTCTGGCTAAAAAACTAATGAAAACATATCAGGAGATGCACCAAATTATTCAGGACGACACATAAGGAGATAAACTTAATTCTGACTTTATTTTTAATGTTTTTCATGTATTTCACATCTTTTGCATATGTAAGAACCATATGAATGTTTACTATCGAGTGCATTCTATGTTCCCATATAACGACACACTGAAGATACAATCCAATAAAAAAAACCCTCCCGACCCTGGCCACATCACTAGTTATTCATGAATTCGTAATTAAAAATGTGTCACTCTGTGTACTCATAAATTAGATAGGTGCTGCTCGTATATTTGATAGTGAAGACTGAAGAGTTTGTAATGGGCGTTCAATAGTTGATAGAGTCGTGCTACCCAACTTACTACATTCAACGTAGTACATTGTTTGAGTGATATTTCTTTTGAACATCATGCCACTCCAGGTTTAAAGATTTTGGGATTCGGATTTGGAGTAACTTCATTATTAAATACCTTCATAGAGTGGGTGTTGTCGTGGTATTATTTCTAAGGCATTCTTTTGGTTAAATAGTATGTTAACATAACGATGTACAAATCAATTTTTCTCTAAGACCAATAAATTAAAAAGAAGATCAATTTAATTTATAATTAGCATGAGCCAATGTGTCATGATGCCTAATCTAGTTATTATATTATAGGGTAGGATATACTTCTCTCCCGATGCCATGATTGATTGTCAAAAGATGACATAAATAGTGGATTTGGATCCTACTAAATCAAAACTTAACTCGTATTAAAAAAAAAAAAAAAAATCCAAAATAAGCAAATAGAAAACTAAACTTATGTTCACTTAGAAATCAAAGAGTGAACTTCATACAAACATGAGTATCTTAGTAAAAATATAGGCGTAAATTAGGTTATCGATTAGTAGTTTGAACCGGCACAATTGGAGAAAGTCGTTGACTTTTTTGTATTGAAGTTAATGTTGACTTTGACTACACAATTGGATAAAAATAATGTCAGAAGTGGGATTTGAACCCACGCCCTCTTTCGAAGACCAGAACTTGAGTCTGGCGCCTTAGACCACTCGGCCATCCTGACGTTTTTGTTCTTTTGCCTGATATATGCTAAATATTCGTTACTTTGAAAACACATAATCCGGCCAATAACCTCGTACGATCACTATTATCAGTAAAAATGAGATGCTGAAAACCACAATTAACTGCTACATAAATAATAGAAAAATTAAATAGCAAAAGTTATTCAAATACAAAAAATGTAACTTGATAACGTCGTGAAATCTTTGAATAATAATATAAGCTTCTAAGCAAAGAAATATGAAAAAACTCAAATTTAGAGGGAACCAGAAAACTTAATCATAGTCTTTGGATCAAATTTATCTAACAAACGCAATTTGCTGGAGACAATATTTTTTAAACAACTGTAACTGTCCAATCTCGGCTATTGATTATTTTCAACTAATTAAGTTTATTAATTCACTAAAAAATAGAGTTCTCTAATCATATTTTTATTATTTACCGACCACTTGTAACAATATTTTTATCAATAGAACTTTCTTTTACAAGCGGTCGTACATCTAAAAATCACGAACAATGACAATACAAGTTCTTTGGTATAAACTTATCTTACTTTTATGAACGACTTAGTTTTTATATATAGAAAACTCACACTAGCAAGAAGCTAGGGAGAAGGAAAAAAACAATTACAAAAACAAAGAGCTAATTGGGTTTTTTAACCAAGAAATGCAACAGATATTTGTTTTTATAACCAACCCACATGAACATGAATTGTTTAGGATTTAGGATTTAAGGTTGAGATCCCATTTTTTGAGTGGATTAGGATTGGCATTACTGTCAATAAGACAAAATTATAATTTTATCTCACAAAAAAGTTCAACAAGATTAAAATATGTTTGTTCTTGATCTCTTATATATACAAAAACATGAATATCCTTCTTATCTTTAAAATCCAAAATATGTGTACAAATCTTTGTCGGTGTTTTGTGGGCATCGAAGTAGACCCGACGTTCTAATTAAACAATACTTATAATTTTTATCCCACATAAAAACGTTCACTGTCTAGCCATCATAAAGGGTTTTGCTAACGATCTTTCATCTTTATAAAAAGATATGAATCTCCTTGATAGTTGATCTTACAATCATGTCAAGAACAACCATAGAAAGTTAATCGAGTACTCCCGTCCAATTCTTTCCCCCAACCAAACTCCATATGCATACCAAAAAACAAAATACAAAATTTATGCAATAAAAACAATAGCATAAATGCAAATCAGGGTGTCTTGCAACATCGACCACTCACTTCATACACGAAGCTGGTCCAAACAAGCTTTCCTATATAGTTTGTTGCTTTGTTGCATTTCCACATACTCCTTGTACTTCATCGGAACAAATGCCGCTGGACAGCTTTCTTCATCCACAGGCCTCACCGCTGTATCTGGCGATGGTCCATTTGCTACAGCCACTGATATCCTTGTGAAAGCATTATTTACAACCGCACGATGCTCCACACTTTTGTACTTCCCATTACTGAAAATCTAAAAAAAAAAAAAAGATCAACAGTTACTTAGTTACGTTTGTTACAAGGATATGACATGAGTAAATAAGTTTCTTTTTTGTGTTTGAGTGTACTTAAGACAGACTTCAATAAAAATAGCATTATTTTTGCCCCACTAAGACATTTACTTTCTCTCAATATCTCGATGCAAAAGATGTTATAAATACCCTCCTGACTTTTAGAATTGAAAATAAGCTTCTCGAGTCCGGTCTTGCCACATTTAACAAACACAAACCTACATACCTCAAGGTGGTCTGCAGTATTGACTAGAAACGAGCCGGGAAGAGTATTGTGCACATTGACCCATTGACCCTTGTGCTTAATTTGAAGTCCGCCTATGCCATTTTCTATGAGGAATGTAAGGAGGCCGTGATCCGAATGAGGTGGCAACCCTATTGCAAGATCGGGTTGTGGGCAAGGGGGTAAAGATTGACAATACATATCTGTAAACTCGATTCCAGTTTCAAAGCTTTTTCTATGCAAGAGTGGTCGAGTCCTAGGCTCATTGATATCCCACTAAGTAACCCCCTTGCTACTTCTCTAGTTCTTCTTGTGTACTCGAATAGAACATCACTGTAACACAACAAATTCGTTAAAAGTTGTGCATGACTAAGTGGATGAAAGCCTCAATTTCCTAAATTTCTTTATTAAGTCCTTTTTCTATTAAGTAAAAAACAAACATTCGATTGTGGGATTAGCTGTTGTCTTTATAAGTATATTAGTTAAAAAGAAAAAGACGTCTAAGAGGCAGCAAAAATAGCCGATAGCAAGTAGATTGTAGCTTCTAGCTGTTAGTGCCACACACGGCTTTCTGTTTAAAATAAAACATTTTATCAATCACTAGAAACTAGAAGTTCTCAAAAATTCCGTACCAAATAGAGTAGAATTTTTTTTTATTTTTTTATTTTTACACACAATTACAAAGTAACAAACAATCAACCTTTAATTTCGAACACAATTATTAAGAGTACGTCGGCTTCTTTTTCTTTGTTATTAAGTGCTGTCTAAAACATGATAAGAGAATGAGTTGGAAGTGAAAGCTAACACTTTAATTTGTCTTTATTTGCCATTGTAAGCAAACTATTGAATCATATGTCTAAAATACCCTTCAATAACAACATAATAAAGAAATCTTTGACAAGAAACAAATATGTAGTTTTAGCATGAAGGGATATCAATAGATATTTATACACACAGAAAATACATACAATGATATCATATGACCAATCAATGAAGCATGCATGCATGAACATTGGTTGCCACATGTGATCGTCCCCTTCACATCGGCCCACACTAAATATCTACTGGACAATCCCTGCTAGCTGTCTAACCGTCTGCCCATATTGAATTATTGACTACTTTTTAGCAGTACAAATTACAAAATAACTACGTTTCTTTGACGTTAGTGCACGAACTATCATTTTCGCAAGTGATCAAATTGCAATAGCCTTCAACTATATAAGCGTTTCTTCCAAACGCACGGGCATTCGTCTAGTTTAGTATTTTCAAAAAAATGTGTGTTAACTCATCCAATAAAACAAGCAAAGGTAAAAGAGTAGCAAGGTCTTATAGGCGGTGGTGGTCCTGCAGTGGGACCACTTTAGCTGCCCCACAAGGCCACGGATGCTCCACATAGGACATGGGATAGAAGGATATACAATTTTGACTAAACGAGAGACAAAGTAAATATTGTATCTAGAATTTGTTAGATGGGTAATATGTTGGAATTTATTAGATTTTTAGGACATAATAAATGAGATGATTGGATGTGCAAATATCTTATTTAGTTTTTATTACTTTACAAAATATGTCAAGATGTTTAATTAGTGTCGAGTCATCATAAGAAAAGATAACCCATTCAAATAATTATACCCAAACGACATTAGTGTTCAGAACAACAAAAGAGTAACTAACATCCAAATATTATAAAATGACCTGGTAAGCATCCCATCATTTCTAACTTCTAGTTGAATCTGCCACTTACAAAGACTAACAAATTTATTTAGTTTTCAATATCAATTTTCCATCCAGTTGTTGTAACATCCTGAAATTCAAATATATATATATATATATATATATATATATATATATATATATATATATATATATATATATATATATATATATATATATATATATAACCCTTCTTCTTTTAAAGTAGTCAATATTAGCCCCTCTAAAAGAGAAAGTGTTGCTAGTAAGTACGCTAGGCGTACTGATAAGGTACGTTGCGCGTACTCATGAGCCTGTTATGGACGCGGACTCCACCCGGTACGCTGGGCGTAGTGGGCCCAGACTCAAAACCCAAAATGAGACTTGTGCACTATATAAGGAATGTTATGGCCTTATCCTCAATCACTATTTCAAAGAGTGAAACCCTAAGTGAGAGCTACCATTCGTTCTTAACCCTTGTGTATGCTTTGGAGCTTAAAAGTCCCTTGATGTTTTAGTGAAGAAGAAGAAGAGAGGACCATTTTGGAAGCTAGTCTTGGAGTGCAAGTTTTAAATCTGAGCTTTGCAAAGGTGGGAGCATCATTTGGAGGTAAAAAGCTTCAAGCTTTCCTTCTTTTCTGTTAGTGTTTTGTATGGGGATGTTTTAGGGTTTTGTTCCCCAAGATGATAACTTTATGTGTTAATAAGCCCCTAGGACCAGAGATCTGTCCCATGCTAGCTTAGTTTAGGTTGCTATGTCATAAAAATCCAGTCTTGGTCATTAAGAGTTGACCATGTTTTAGTTATGGGCTTCTAAAGGTTGGAAATGGAATGATTGAGTGTTGGTGACTTCTACAGCCATGCAAAGGCTTAAAGTCATAGACTTTATGGATTAAGTGGCTATAGAATAGTCAGATCTGGAAGTTCAACGTGTGTCTTAACCATTTAAGACCCAACATATAAAGGAGTATGAGACTGGGACTTACGCGGGGCGTAATCCCAGTACGTGCGATGTAGGGGTCGCGTTCCCCGTTTCTGTGAAGTTGCCGGGTACGCTCAGCGTACAGATTTGGTACACGCCGTGTAACCCGGAGGGTTGACTTTTGTTGACTTTTAGGGTTTAGCTAATGTTTGGACCTTTGAGCCATGGGAGGGGTAAAATGGTCTTTTACCCTTCTGATAGAACCTAGAGGGAGTTTAGCCTAGCCTTTGAGAGTCGTATTGATTAGAATAAATATTCTATGTGATTAGGTGAATGCTAGACCAGTATTTCCGAGTTCAAGATTTACCGAGTTACCCGAGGTGAGTCTTCTCACTATACATTACCTAGAGTGGTAATTAGAGTTATGTGACAGAGTATCTTGTATGCTTTTGCATGATGTGATTTCTATGTGATTTGTGCTATGTATGATTCAGAGTTTACAAAGTTAGGACCGAAAAGTCCACAGAGTTAGGACCAGAGGGTCAATAGAGTTATGGGACTGGAGGGTCCCACTGAGACACATTAACCAGAGGGTCATGCCAACTTATAGCCTCAAGTGGCTAATATGTGTTGTATGTAGTATTTTGGGGAGCTCACTATGCATTTATGCTTACCGTGTTATGTGTTATGTGTTTCAGGTACTAGCGAGGATCACTGGAAGGCGCCGACATGATTTGTACACACTGGCAAAAGATTATGTTTTTTTAGATTATGGGATATGTTTATTGTGATGACATTTGATAACATGATATTTGAGAATATTATACGATTTTTATTGTGTTGAAAAATGAAATATTGTTTTGAAAAGTTACGTTGTTACAAGTTGGTATTAGAGCCTTGGTTTGAGGGATTCGGATGCACCTTCGGGCATATCTGAACTCAAACTGAGGATTTGAGGAATTTTTCACAATAAAGCAAATTTTTCTAAAAGAGTAAAAGGTTTTGAAATGAGCAGAACAGAGCAGTGTGTACGATCAGCCAACGGCCGAACGGTGATTTCCCAAAATGCCCTTACATTATGTGTTATAAGATACGATATGATATGTTATGAATGCTAGAGTAGGCTAGGTATTCATATTAGGACTAGAGTGGCCTGATTTGTGATGCCTTAGCCTAGGAGATTACTGCTACTATGAGATGCTTGAGAGTGAGTAGGTAGCAACAAGGAGCTTACGAGAGGTCTGCTGGAGAGTAGCCTATGCATAGCAAGATTAGAGTACTTGTGATCTAGGATCCTAGCAGGAGGACTTTGGGTAAATACTGATGCGGTGTGGACGATAGTATAGGGCCCGTACTACTGAAGACACCAGATTAGTGCGCAGTCCAAGTAAGAATCCTTAGGGTACTAGGGAGCAGGTAGGGTTGAGTTATGAAGAGCGAGTACACTCGAGCGAGTCTCTGATATTTTTATGTTGTATTTCAGAGACATCATGGTGAGTACGCGCCACACTCCAGAGAGCAGCGTTGTCAGCGATGAGGAGATCCGCAGGATGATTCATGAGGAGGTGGTTGCAGCCATACGAGCTAAGATACCGGAGATGTTTGGGTCTATCAAGACCACATTGATGAGACTTTTGATGAGCGGTACGCTGCTCTTACTGATGTTACTGTTGTTGCGGCCCCATCAGTCACCGCTGCTGCCAGGCCACAGGGAGGTGACTCGTTGCTATACCGAGAGTTCAGCAACACGAAGCCACTAGAGTTTGATGGGACACAGGATCTGATAGCCACGATGAGGTGAAATTCTAACATTAAGGGATGCTTCTACACGTGTTCATGTTTGGAGCATCTGAGGGAACGGTTCGTGCTGAACCAGCTTCGCTTGGGAGCGAAGGATTGGTGGAAATTCATGATGGAACATTTCACTCTTGTAGAGCTTACCGCGGTAACCTGGGAGAGGCTCACTGCCATGTTTCGTGACGAGTACGTTCCTCCGGTGGAAAAGGAATGGTTGCTCCAGGAGTTCTTGTCCCTCAAGCAGGGAACAGAGTCTGTTACTATGATTACCAGGATGTTTCACTAGAGGGCGATGTTTTTCCCTGAACATGTGTCTACTGAGCAGGCACACATGAGTCGATATCTGAGTATTCTGAGGAGAGACATTCACAAGTTTGTGGCGAACTCAACATACCAGACATTTGTCCAGCTCCAGGCAAATGCTCGGAAGAGGGAGATTGAGCTCAAGACTCAGGTTAGGGAGGAGGCGAAGTCTTAGGGGAGGGATCGGTGACCGGCACAGTCCCAGTCGATAGCCAAGCGGGCAAAGCCCGCCGATTCGAGATTAGGAAACCAGAAGGGCTGCACTTGTGGCAAGTGCGGCAATAGCTACGAGGGGATTTGTCGAGCAGGGTCTTGCTACAAGTGTGACAAGGAGGGGCACATGGCTAAGGATTGCCCTAAGGGATTTGTAGTCTGTTTCCACTGCAACCAGACTGGCCATCGGAAGGTCGAGTGTCCACAGCTGCGGGGGCCAGCGTAGGGAGCACTGTACGGATCTACCCGTGCTGTCGTATGAGCTACCGAGATTCGACCAGCTAAGGTCGAGGCACCGAAGGCTCGCGGGAGAGCCTTCCAGTTGACAGTGGAGGAGGTCTGCGCAACGCCCGATGTCGTGGCTGGTATGTATTCTTTCATCTATTTATTTCGAGTTTGAGATATTATGCTTATATTATGGTATGCGTAGGTACTTTTCTTGTGAGTTCTTTACCTTCTTTGGTGTTATTTGACTCGGGTGC